CCAATCCATTTTTTTTCGCTAAAAAAGTTTCTAATATTTTTCAAGTTATAACTATGCATGGCTATCGCTGACACCGTTTTTTTTTCGATCATATTGTATTAGGAGGTAAGTACAATATGATCGAAAAAAAAACGGCGTCTGTGCTGACTATGTAATGAAGATCGCTGTCATTTTATATATAAAATTATATGGGAAATATCATTGATATTCATTTCCAAGTCAACTGGACGCCGTTTTTTTTTATCATATGGTATTTAAATCCGTCATGCGTCGTCTCTTGTTTTTAACCATCGTCTTCATCGTCTTCTTCGTTTATTTCAAAAATGAGAAATCATATTTCAACATTTCAACAAGACGCACGGACGCAGATGTGAACTCGACTTAAGATTTTTTGAATTTGTCAAACTTTTGTCAAATTATAGGTACAAATGACCAACGTTCTGGAAAATGATAAATTTTCATTTTGCTCTCTGTTGTAGCGTATTTAAATTACTACCACTGCATACGGCAGCTTTTCGCCAATAGAGCTGTCATTGGTTCGATTGTATTTCACTAGAGAAACACTAATTAATTAAAGACAAAGTTATCTACGAAAAGTATGTTGGGGTCCTATAGCAAGATACAGAGAATAGAAAAACAAAGTTGTAGTTGCCTAAAATTAATGCAGAAAGTTTCATGAAAATTGAAAGTGAGAAATAGTTCATTTTTATTGATTTCTTGTATGTGGTGTTTTGTGTCACACACCCATGGTTTGTTTTATATTAACAAACATTGTTTTTTAAACACGACCGAAATTGTTTTTTAAACAAAATAACACCATTAGATTTTTTCAGTTCTATATAGCTTTTTTATTATATTTTGCAGTAATCATTTGTCAATGTCATTTCTAATGTAGAATGTGGAATGGTTAGGAGGGAACCGCGACCTTACAGATCTTTTGTGTGTTCCCCCTTCTTGAGTTATAACGAGCTATAACTCATCATACAGTCTCAGGGCTTTAACAAAAGCCAGTATCTGAGACGTCTCCACAGAGGCCAGCTCTCAATCCTCGACATCAGCCGTACCAAAATTCATAGCACGAACGGTCGTCGGCGTCGTCTTGGCGCACTCAGTGATAAGGCGTTGTGGTGTTTCACCATTTTCCCCACAGAATCTGCATTCAACGTTGTTTCTTAGATTCAACCTACTGAGGTGTTCGTTGAAGAGACAGTTTTCTGTTAGAAACCCCATGACAATCCGAAGATTGTTTTTTATTTAAATCAAGGAATATCTTTCATTTTTCTCGGTCGTAAGTTCTGAGGAACTTTTGCGAGTGTCTTAAACCGTTGGAGGACTCCCATTTCAATTTGTCACTAAAATCTTTAATATATTAATTTCCAGCTTTGCATTCCAATATTAAATTAAAATGACAGACACATCTATCACTGTCAAGAAATTCGTCGCTAGCTAGACTATAGTACAAGACACCTTTATTACAAAATAAAAAAATTGTGTTTACTGGTAACTTTCTTTAAGAAAATCAGACGTAGTTTCAAAAAGTAAAAAAAAATCAAGAGATCCTCATTTCTAATTGCCCGTCAGTTGCTAAGAAGAATGCCTAATGATATTCTCAAATAATAATTGCCCTTCTACTTTCACGGCAATAACAATAGATCGTTTATGGAACAAACCGTACTGCTTGACGTTTAATCAAGTATAAATTGTCATCAGTCTCTTCGTATCTTCTAAGGTAGGGCACTTATAACGACCGATACCTCATACATATTCAACAAGAAAGTATATCTACAATTATACGTTATCCACACCTTTAACTGCATACATATAGTACATAAATGTCAAAGGTCTAATAGCCTAATTTGTATATCTTCAGATAAAACTTCCTTTTATTATAGGAATTATGTTTCTTTAAGATTACATACATCCGTCTTAGGTAGATAACGAGGTAGATAATTGATGCATTTTAGAAAAACATAAAATAATTGTGTATTTTTTAGATTATTTTCAATACTTGATGATCAACAAAACGAGGGAGACAATCAGGAATAATTAAGAAATATAAAGAAAATTAAACAACAGCAAAATAAAACACTAATTAACCACAATACACCAAAATACATTGTGATAAGGCACCATAATTATAAAAGAATAATCTACTTATTGCAATTACTAGGTAAATCTAAACGATGCACATAAGAATAAAAATTAAAGTTTTTTAATTAGTAGATATAGAATATCATATCGGGCAATTGCCAAGTCATTACAATTATTACAGAAATAAAGATGACTAATATTGATACTAACAATTTATAACAAAATTGTTAAATATAGGTGCTTAAAGGGAGACTAAATAAAATAAACTGACTTGGTTTTACATGAGATCTCCCATCTTTTTATAGTGGAAGAATTATGTTGCGAGAATTGGCATTTTTTTTACATTCTATGTTTGATAAGAGATCAACATTTTTGATGGGATCTCATTTTTTTGTAGCTTACCTACATTTTTTTCCTATTTTTTTCTCGGGTAATACAGGATGTCCCAGAAATAAGTGCAAGCATTTTAACTGGTAGTATAGTTCAACCCCAGAAACAAGCTTATAAGGTTTTTTTCGCGAAAAAAAAATTGAAAATTTTTGGATTCAATTTAACATTCAATAACTCAACTCTCCCAAAACATTTTATAGCTTCACAGCTTCTCATACCGATTTGATAAAATCTTCGAAGATATTCAGAATTTTTAAATTTTTAAAGTGGGATGTTATTAGCTTCAAATTGCGCAATTTTACTTATTTAACCGCCCTCGTATCTTTTTTAGTTGTGTTTTTTTTTAGTTTTTAGTTAAAAAGCATAATTTCTTGATAATAGGGCAACATAAGTAATAGATTAAATTTACAAGAAAGAAAATCCAGAAAAGATCCAGTGGTTCTCAAAACTTTAGCAAAAAATCATTTTTTTCTGGAAATTTTAAGTAAAATAACTCCGTTATTTTGGACTTATTTGAAAAACGATAAAGATGTTTCTTTTATCGAGATCTACCACCCCTTATACTTTCTGGGATACCCTGTATATCATTAAAAATAATATTAAAGAAGTTTGACTAGCAATAATTCATAAACTTTGAATTATCGTATAAAGTCAGATAATATAAAATGAATTAATTCTAGTTTTCTAAGGCTTGTGTTTCCGACTTTCGTTATAACCTAAATATCAACTTTAAAAATGTTCAATTCAGGATTTTGCCAATGCTTTTATTCGCAATCATGTTTTTGCCAATTTTACACATATTTTATTTTTTATCTCGAAAACTATAAGAGATAAGTATAGGTTAGTATAATGGACAAATTATGAGAGTAGTTTCCAAAAATCTAATAATATACTGGGTGTTCCATTTAAAATAACAAAGATGCTACCACTTTTCAAATGATCCGGCAAAACTGTAACTCTGATAATATTTTGATAGAGCAGATCAGCAGATACCTTATATAAAAGTCCAAATTTTTAAAACAATCCTATCACCGCACCGGTCCTCTTATTGCCATAGCCGGAAAGTCGGTTACCGTTAGCGGCTAGACAGCTAACTTTTGATTCATAAGGATATTTCGAGATTTTTCATTTTTTCCTTTGATTATAAGGTTAAAGCCACCTAAAATTCGAAATTTGAAGTTTGTGACACATCTAGAAGTACCTTAGAATTTTGATGATCTGTCAGTGAGTCAACGTCGAAACTAAAGAAATTTGACATTTTGACAATAAACTATGAGAGACAATTACTAGATATTTTGGTAACCTAGCTAGCTATAGTATGTTTTCAAGTGTAGTGAAAATTAATATTCTTGCTTTATCCACAACGAAGTTACAGGGTGGTCAAAAGTGTCGCTAATACTTCAAGAAAAGGATGGTACAGATGTGATCGACTTGGCGGGGGCACTACCGTGCTCCCAGATAGGCTTTTAAAAAACACTTTTACTTTTACACTGGACGCGCGTTTCGCTAACCATGTTAGCATCATCAGCAGATGATTATAAACTGATAGCCTAGGTTATAATAGGCATAGGTTCAGTAAAAACAAACAGCAAAATAAAACACTAAATCACCACAATACATTAAAACACTTTTACTTTTACACTGGACGCGCGTTTCGCTAACCATGTTAGCATCATCAGCAGATGATTATAAACTGATAGCCTAGGTTATAATAGGCATATGTTCAGTTTATAATCATCTGCTGATGATGCTAACATGGTTAGCGAAACGCGCGTCCAGTGTAAAAGTAAAAGTGTTTTGGTGTATTGTGGTGATTTAGTGTTTTATTTTGCATCATTTCAGTGGATTTCGAAAAATTTCGACCGGCCGCGGCACTCTCTCGGCAGGAATCAGAAGTTTTCACTATGTATTTCACGCCGTCACGGTTACAATTCATGTTGATCGTATTAAAATAATATTGAAATCGTGGCTTTGTCATAAATTTAAATATTTTGGTTTTTTTTGCTAGTGCAGTTATTGAAACTATAAAACACTCAGGTATGAGGTTTGTCTGATGTAACGCTGTTTCGGGTAGTAGAAATAAAGTGAAAAAGAACTCGAACTCGTCATCGCGTTGTGTAATGACAATTTCAAATGTTAATAAAATTAGCGAAAAAATCTTAACGAGTAAAAGAGGGCGTAATTACGTGGTTGTTGGGTGCAATAACATTCAATAACTCAACTCTCCCAAAACATTTTATAGCTTCACAGCTTCTCATACCGATTTGATAAAATCTTCGCAGATATTCAGAATTTTTAAATTTTTAAAGTGGGATGTTATTAGCTTCAAATTGCGCAATTTTACTTATTTAACCGACCTCGTATCTTTTTTAGTTTCCAGGATACCAATGATGAGGCTCAACTTTGTGACACCCTGTATTTATATTTTGCAATATATGCCATATCGATGTCTAACATTTTCTTTTGATTTAAACCTCTACTTAAAATTTAAAAAAAAGCGGACAAACTCTGGTACTTACCATTTTTAGAGTTTCCTCCGTCCTCAACAGGTTGAACATGCACTGCAAATGACGTTGGATGGGTGCACTGTTTTGATACGCGTTACTGCCACCTTTCGGCGCGTTTTGCGAATCATCTTCGACCGTGGTCTCCCCATTTTCGACGCCCTCGGGCTGGGATACAGGGTCGGCATCAGGTAGCACCACCGCGGTACCTTTGCCGGCGAAATAGCACTCGCTGAGGCTGTAACAAAAAGAAAACGTCCAACTTAAAATTAGGGATCGCAATTTCAACAAAATTACAGGGTCTCGCGGTAGCTACTATACCTCTATCAAGATATTTATCAAAATCGAATGGAGCAAGTAGGCAGCTGTTTGGGTTAAATTGCTACCAAGATGAGCGAAGAGCAGGTTGCGTTCGTATAATTAAGGATTTGTTCCACTACTACCGATTAACAGGAAATAGACCAAATTAACTGCTTTAATTTATATATTTTTAAATATTACCTAATCCTTTTTTGAATCACCAAAAATACCTACTTCATGTGTGCTAAAGATTAGTAGAAAATTACGTTGTCTAAATGCACTCAAGTTATGTTAGTGTATTATGTTCATAATCTTTGTCACGTTCATGAAAGTACAATATGATCGAAAAAAAAACGGCGTCAGGGGTGGCTATGAAATGAAGATCGCTGTCATTTTAAATGTAAAATTATATGAGGAATGTCATCGATGTTCATTTCCAAGCCAACTGGACGCTGTTTTTTCATCATTCGTGCCATAATCACATGAAGATTGAAGTTGATTTACAGAGTTTTCAGCACTACACATTAAATTACTCCTCATTTACTCACTTTATTCAATAGTATAGATGAAGATCGGAATCTCTCGCACGGAAACGAGATTCATCTCCGAGAGATTCCGATCTTCATCTATTATTAATATATTAATATATAATATTCATTATTAGGTGAACCTAATATCACTTTATTTTTTCAAGTAAATGATTATGTTATTTCCTACATAATAATAATTTGATAAAAACAGCTACAAACTTGTTGGCCATTAATATTCTAAATTGAAATAAAATTTCCAACCACGGGAAACACATATCGGTAACAGAAATTATAAGTATCAGCGGTTTCTGCGATCAAACTTTTACAAATAACCAAGCAAATGACCTCACTAGGCGATTTCACAATATCTACTAAGTCTACTAAATTTTAGCTTTAGAAATCTCGGAAATCAAGGTTTTATATCTATTCATAAAAGTAAGTCTTGAGCACGAAAAAAATGTTTTTCTTTTCTTATTTTGGCCCTATAACTAATGCCCTATTTCAAAAAATCTTCGAGTATAGGTCCCTGCTTCAAGAATCAAACGGTCAATTTTAAATTCATATCGAAGGCCGCTGCCTCAGCCGCAAAATAACATTCACTAAAGCTAGAACAAAAAGAATATGAAACTTAAAATCGATAATCATTATTCAATCGAAATTATAATATGGTTTTACAGTGACTATCTTTATTAAAATATTATAAAAATAAATTTATAAAACAATATAAAGCAGGAAGTTGTTATTGAAAATGGAAAATTTAAAAAACGAAATTTTTATATTCCAATTATCTTATATTTTCAAACCTTCATTAAAATATTCTTGTACATTTCATAATACAGCCTAAATAAAAATAAATAATTAACTAGCCATATTTAAGTAAGAAAGCTAAGAAAAATAGCTAATGAATAAGCAATAAACGGCAGTTGAGTGCATAATTTAATGTTGAAATATGTAAATCAAATGTGTACCATTTCTAATCAAACTGACCTTTTATCTATAAACAACAAACCACATATCCAATCTTAACCACATCCTTCCCCATGCAGAAAAAAAATTGATAATCAAATTTGTATTTTTTATTAAATAAGTTTAATTTTAATTTAATGATTTGCAGATGATGCAGAAAATCATTAAATTAAATTTGCACATCTATCAAAAATAAAAAATCTGCGTTGTAGCGTATTTTAGTAAACTGAGTTTAATTTTATATATTTTTTGTTACATGGTGTGGCAGCATGGACACTGAAGGTAGCAACAATAAACCGAATTGAAGCCTTCGAAATGTGGACCCTACGACGAATGCTAAGAGGGCCCTGGATCGACCGTGTGAGGAATGAAAACATTCTCAGAAGAGCTGGTCTAGAAGAACGTGAACTCTTCGAAATCATTAAGAAGAGGAAAATAGCCTATTTGGGGCACATACTACGTGGAGAACGCTATCACTTTCAGCGTCTGATTCTCCAGGGTAAAATAGAGGGGGGCAAAAGGGGAATAGGCCGAAGGAACCTATCCTGGCTGAGAACTATTCGTCATTGGACAGGCATACAGGACTTCCAAGCACTCCAAGTCGCTGCAATTAGTAGAACCATCTGCTGATTAATAGAACCATCTGATGATACATCTTGGCATTACATTAAAGCAGTGACAAAAAAATAACTTTTTAAGTAATTATTACTGCTGATAACAATTAAGAACCTCTCTGGAGAAAATACCACTAGATAATAATTATAATTATAATAATGGTAATGATGAAAACTCTTTAAAAAAATTGTGCATAATATAATTATTTTCAAGAACATTTTCAACAGATAAAAGATGTTAGATTAAATGGTGATTTAATTTTGATACTCATTTGTTTTTTTATGAAATACGTATAAATAAAAATACACAAAGTTTACTGTACATAAATTATAAACATTTATTGGCAAAACGTGTCCATTGGAAGAGACGAAATCGACAGACGACATCCAAAAATCAGAAGAACATTTATATTTGAATAAAACCGGCAGACTGTCAACTGTGAGGAATTCCCCCGTTCAGCAGATTATAGTATAAAATAACATTTATATTTTTCAGGTAACCGAAAGTGATTGTAAAACACCTTACACATGTTCTTGGAAGTTCAGAATTTTAGCAATTAACACATGACGACCATTATCGACCATCATTTATCGAGTTCCAAAGAATGATGCGTCATATATTAACAATGCCGCCTTATTGCAAATGTTTTATATTATATACAAAGCATATGTTTGAAACAAATTCTACGACTAAGATTTCTTAGACCACCCACATGCGTTATTTTGGATTTTGGTTCAAATGAAATGGTTACTTACCGACATCCAAAAATATGCCTTGCAGCTAATTTTAACTATCCATTTTTAAACGAGTTCATCAAGTCTGCCTTTAGCTGTAAAATACTCTTTTTTATTATCGGTACTGCCTGTGTTCTCCAAATAAAACACTAATTATTTTGTTTAATGAATTATTTGTTTCGTGGCTAGATAGAAATTTTACTTTTATGTTTTCACAATAACAATTCAAAGGAATTACGACAAACAATTCATAACCGACTTCACAGAATTGAATAGAAGTTATTCTCTTCGCTCCATTAAGCGGTCCTCACACGATCAATAATATTGTCAATGTTTTTTATTGTCAATGTTTTATCAATATTTGAAAGGTGGCCTGACACGGTCAATACTTATATCAAAATGTGTGCAGATATTAAGTGTGAATTATACCCATAATTATACCCTATGCCAAAAAATGAAAGATAAAAAAAGCGTGTCATTTTGGCAGTGAGTGTCAGTCAGTGTGAAAAAATCGAAGTAAAAGTTTAAGAAAAAGCGTTATACAAAAAAATGGATATCCAAAAAGAAAAAGGTTCGGCCAACTAAATCTTCTAGAGTACGTTAAGAAACGGGAGCCTGATGATTGCGATCTAAAACTGGTGAAAACAACGACGGCGATGTTCCGTCTTCCGCCATGGTTACCAATAAACTAGTCAAATTTGGTCAATCATGCGACCTAACGATCAATATATTGTCAATACGACTAGCTCCGCCTTTAATATTGTCGAGTATTTTCAGGATCCCGAAAATCTATCAATATATTGAAACTCCATCAATATGTACGCTCAAACGCTCAATAATAATTGTCAGTAATCCAAAATATTAACAATATTATTGATCGTGTGAGAGCCGCTTTAGTAAGTAAATATATTAAATATAATCAATATTTCGTTAAAGCTAAAAAAGTAAATAGTTGGGGGTTGGAACACACTTTACTTGTAACATGGGACCCGCGTTTCACTAACGATCAATTATCCGCGAGGATTTATATGAAGGTTTTTTTTATTTTGCTTTTTATGTCAGATAACTAGAATGTAGAATGTTTAGGAGGGGGGTTAATCACCGCGACCTTACAGATCTATTGTGTGTTCCCCTTTCTTGAGTTATAACCAAATCACAGTCTTAGGGCTTTGACGAAAGCCAGTATCTGAGACGGGTCCACAGAGGCTAGCTCTCCACCTCCGACATCAGCCGTACCAACATTGTCATCTCGGTGCACTCAGTGATAAGGAGTTCTGGTGTTTCCCCATTTTCCCCACAGAATCTGCATTCACTGTTGTTTCTCAGCTTCAATCTACTGAGTCTGTTCGTTGAGGAGACCTGTTAGAAAGTCCGTGACAATCCGAAGAATCCGAAAAATCAAGGAAAATCTTTAAGTTTTCTCGGTCGTAAGTTCAGAGATAGATTCAGATAACTAGCATCGCAAGGAAAGAAAGTACTCTCTATGTAGTTACAATTTAGAATGAGTGGGAGGGGGGTTAATCACTGCGACCTTACAGATCTATTGTGTCCCCCTTTCTTGAGTTATAACTCATCATACAGTCCCAGTCCTTTGACGAAAGCCAGTATCTGGGACGGTTTGACAGAGGGTAGTTCTCTATCTCCAATATCAGTCGTACCAAAATTCATGGCACGAATGATTGTCGTCTCGGCGCACTCAGTGATGAGGTGTTCTGGTGTTTCCGCATTTTCCCCACAGAATCTGCATTCGCCATTTCTTCTTAATTTCAATCTACTGAGGTGTTCATTGAGGAGACAGTGTCCAATTAAAAACCCCGTGACAATCAGAAGACTGTTCTTACTTAAATCCAGGAAGATCTTTGATTTTTCTTGGTCGTCAGCCCTCAGAAACTTCTTCGAGTGTCTTAGACCGTTGCAAGATTCCCATTACAGGTTGCGGATGGAGTCTTCCTAATTCTTGAGTTGAGCTTTTAGTTGGTTACCACTTGGGAACCAGAACGGTTCTGGTCCATTTAGTAGAGTGTTCGCTCCCTTTCTAGCCAGACCATTTGCTTTTTCATCCCTTGGTGAGCAGGCACCCAGAGTAGAAGGAC